TGGTACCCCCCGACCTCTGCTACCGGCTCTGAGTGGGCTGGATCTTGCCCGTCCCCACGTGCTGAGATGTCACCTTGTTCCCAGCCCGGACAGCCCCCGCTGTCACTTCCCGGCTCACGGAGAGTCACCACGCATGGCCCCATCCCGGGGTCCCCACGCAGGTGCTCCCAGGTCCTTCCAGCTGGAGGATTCCCTGCAGGAATCCGCTAGAGCTGCTGCACCGAGGGATGTGGCTCTTGTCCCACCTGCTTGGTGACCAAGGACCCGCGCTGCTGCCTGCCCCTCACCCGCAGGGTGCCCGGCACCCTGCTCCTCTGGGAGCTGTTGGGAGACTCAGATTCCCAACGGGATGCTGCTGATGGGTGGCAGGGGAGAGCTCTGGTTCTCCGGTGGGACCATCCCGTGCACCCGGAGCAGGCCTGTCCTGGGGGAGAGCCAGGCTGCTCCTGGCACTGCTGGGTTTGGTGGGGGCCACCGTGTTCCTGTCCCACGCTGGGCTCGTGCCTTGGGGACGCCGCCCGTGCCCGGGGTGCTCAGCCGCAGTGACACGGTGGAGCAGCGCGTGCTGCGCTCTGGGTGGCACATCTGGGTGTCACCTTTCCCTCGGCCAGCCTGGCTGGGCGGGCAGCACCTCGCCGCGGTGTTCCCTTCCTCCCCCTGCAGAAACAGGCTGGGGAAACACGTCCCATGGGAATGTGGTGCCCGGCGGGAAGCCGCTAAGGGACAGCCAGGCTTTCCTAGCTCGGGCTGTGCCCGCTGTCCCCGCGTCCCCCCTGTGCCGCAGCCCTCGGGCTGTCGCCGTGCGGGGCTGGCGCGATGCGGAGTGACAGGCGAGGGGGAGGCAGCTCGTGTGCCACCTCGCCGGGGCTGTGACAGCCCGGGTGTGAGGCCGCCTTGCACTCAGCCGGGTGTGTAATCTGCTTACGGGGGCACCGGCGCAGCCCCGGGCTCTCGCTGCCGTAAATCCCTGCTCCAGCCGGGAGTGCGGGCTGGGACGCTTGGAAAGCGGCCGAGAGCCCCTGGATCGCGCCTGAGCGGCTCTGATGCATCCCGACAGTGCATCAAGGTGAATCAGCGTCCCTGGTGACCCCGAGGTGACAGCTGGGGAACCCTGGCTGCCACCCACGGCTCCTCCTGGGGCACTGTTAACCCTCCCCAGCCCAGGGACGAGCCGGGAAAGCCGAGGCAGGAACGCAGGAGCCTGGGATCCCTGTGGTGGGCAGCGTCCCTGCTTCTCCCAGTGGAGGGCTGCGTCCTTCCCAGGGAGGCCCAGCTCCAGCAGGAACTTGGAGCCGTGGGGGGAAGCTTTAATTGTCAGGTGCAAAAGTGTGGAATTTTTAAACAGCTTTTCATGGAAAACTGGGTTTCTCCCCTCAGAGAGGCTGTGGAGCCCTCCCTGGCTGGTGTCTGTGGGGTGCTCCAGGGTGAGGAGCAGGAAAGCACGTGCTGTGCAGTAGGATGGAGGGGGTTTTTGTCCCGGGACAGAGGGCGTTTCTGTCCTGAGACAAAGGTGTTTCCAAGGACCGAGTGTCCTCCTGGGCTGTAGCCAAGCTGTGTGTTCAGCCCAGGGAGGATGGTGATGATGATGGTTGTCCTGCAGCCCCCCAGTATCTCCCTTGCCACCTTCTTGGCCAACGGTGCTTTTCTGGTCGTTGAAATCTCGGCAGCCGGGCAGGAGCTGGGCTTGGCTTTGCCCCGGGGGTTCCTCTGCCCTCCTGAGCCCCGCAGCCCCCGCAGGGGCCGTGCCTGGCCCCTGGGTGCCCTGGGCACCCGGCGCGGAGCCTGCCCAGGGTGGAGTTATGCTAATGCCGCTCCCCTTCCCTCGGCGCAGCCGGGGCCACTCGGCATCTGCTCCTGGCCACGGGCGACACCGGCTGTGCCATGGCCACCTGCCCCGAGCTGCAGCCTGGGCAAGAGGTACGGGGGCACCGACCGTCCCCGGCGGGGCGAGAGAGAGGGTAGAGGGGATGGGGGGACCCGGAGCACCCTGATACTGTGGGAAGGTGCCACAGCCGATGCTCCGTCCCTGGAACAGCCCTGCTGGGGGCTGCACTTGCTGCAGGAGCCCCAAGGATGTGGCGCAAACCCCTCCGGTGCTGCAG